TACTACTACTACTACTACTACTACTACTACTACTACTACTACTACTAGTACTAGTACTAGTACAAGAACAACAACAACAACAACCTACGCGCTCAATTGGCCCTCGTAGGCAGATGCCAAGGCCCTTGATTTACACCAGAAACGGGAGTTGCATACTTACATCAATCCTACGTCACCTACATCCCAAAAGGATGTAATTGAAACAAGTTCCATACCTGTTTGGCTTTGGTGACTTCCAGTGACTTCCAATGCAAAGGGTTCAGGCAAGGGGTCCGGAGGGCATCAGATTGAAACTCAAGGCGGATCGTGTCGTTGCAACGACGTACTCACGTGTCGTTGCACGGGTACCCAAGGATCTATTTGGTGAAGTGGAAGAAGAAGAAGAAGAGAAGCAACCCTCCAATTATAATGTTGGTAACTCTATGTCCTTCATCCAGGCAAATCTGAATGGAAGACTAGGTTTGCTGCGTGACGATGCACACCGATCATGTCCTTTACGCTCTGCGCTTGTTGGGGGCGAAGGATCGTATTCTTCGGTGGTCCGTCCCGCCGGCTTTGACGTTTATTTTTGTGCCAGATCAACGAGCCCAAGAAGTGGAAACCATCCGCTCCTGTGGAGGCGGGCAAGTTTCGGTGGGGAAAGGAAGAAATCCTACAAAACCTCCAATACCACCGTCGAAACCACCACCACCACCACCACCAATAACCACAAGAAAACTTTCATTCACACACCACTGCAACCTGCGTGGTTTGCGAAAGACTAGAACTCGGCAATTTGTTACTGTCGGGCATCTTCTGGAAAAATTCCCTCCCTAGGGATCCACATACCCTTCTCAGAAGGTACAACCGGACCCTCCTGGCGCCTAGATTAAACAAAATCTCCAATCACATTCTCAGAGGGTGGCAGGATCCAGGAACTCTTTCCGCGGTGGATGTCTCAATCGGAGCTTCTGAATGGCTCGCACATGACCGCCTGACCGTGGCCGCGGTGAAAGAGTGGGTCGTCGTGCATTGACTAGTTGTTTCACCCTGGGGGGGGCGAAATGGGAACGACGACCGGGGTGAAATAGCCGGGCGTCGCGACTTGACAAGCTAAGCAGTTCGACTAGGTTTTGGCTACAAGGCTCCGAAACGGGGTTGATGTCCTGGTAAATATATGCAATGTATTGCAATTTACACTTGCATGTCTCATGGGAAGCTTTGGCACTTTCCTAGCCTCGCAAAAAATAAAGAAACGCACCTTTCGACGGCGCCCCGTTTCGTCCACGGAAAAGGTACGGCGATACTGTTCGAGGGGCCGCGATACAAGTCCACATCGGTACTGTGGCCCCCAAAATCACCAAGCTGCCAATGGGACATAACCACGGCAGGACCAAACAAATCGTAGTAGGAGATCCCATAGGAACGGCACAGTAACATGCGGTCCACAGATGGCGCTCGACGGAGTTAAAAGCAGAGGCCCAGAAGAACAGATGAAAGATAAAGAAGTCGAAGGAAAAAAACATAGGAAAGGAAGGCTTAAATTAAAGGTGTCTAAAGGTCTTAAAGAACACCAAGAACCATGATCATGCCGGACTTCGGCATCTCTAGGGATGGTTAACAAAAGCCAAACACTGGTTTGTGAACAACTTTGCTGGCAAGCTCTGTCGGCACTTGTGACCGTAAAAGAAATCAAGACTGACATCTAGACGACACGTGATCTACATCGATCTACACCCAGACATGTGAGCAGCTCAGCCGACATAGAGATAGCTCAACGACTTCACTTTGATACACTTGTTGGACTTGGTGGATGGAACGATGTCGCAATATTTTTGCAACATATTAAATATCGCATCTGAATTAATACAACCAGGAAATACCACAAATGCACCGTGATGCACCACCTATATAGCAACTTTGGGTTTTTCCTGGGGGGCTTTTGGTCACGTCTTGCAGCCTTGTCACGTAGATGGCTGCACCAGACAGACCATCCACGGCCAGGCCGACTTGCTCGGAACGTCCGGCGCAGTGCCAGTGCCACCCCAGGTGGCCGGGCTGCGGTCCAGGGTCGGAACAGGGGGGTGTCTATTCTTCGAAAGGAATCCACTTCGAACTATTGGAGAATCACGAAGACAGGAAAAAATCATAAGAAATCCATTCCATGAGAAAGGAAGACATGGATTCCAGTCTGAAATGAAGGCTCCACTTCCGGATGCCATGGCCGCAACCCTGGAAAAGTCCTTCGATCCCGATTTCGGGGCGCACCGGCTCCAGGTCAGGTTGTCCCATCGGACGAGATGGGACGATTGGACGTGTTTGATTGACCACATCATCCAACAAACATCCCCTGTCGGGCTCCAACCATATCCTCATGTTCGGTGGTTAGATTCCCCTGACACCCACCCCTGGCCCATCGAACCTCAGGAGCCCGGATGGGATCCTGAAAAAACACATCATTGGATCGATCGGGATGGGGATCAAACTTGCCGTCGACTTCGCGAGACGTTCTTCCGTACTTTAAAAACATATTGTCCGTCCGATCGGCAATTAGTTGAGGTGCGTGGCAATGGTTTGGGAGGTGTTCAAGGAGCAATGCAATTTATGGATCAACATGTCTGAACAAATGGAATGGACCTTCAAATGTATGCAACGTGCGAGTTTTGGTCGTTTGGAAGGGTTCTTTCGGTTGTTTCAGGGAGAAATAGACCCAGGTGAGGTGAGGTTCTGATCGTTGAGGCAACCCATCAAACAGATACCACTGACGGTTCAACAGGGTTAAACTCTTCAAGAATTACAACCACTGCCCCAATTAATTGGAGCTGTGAAAAAGCACAGTCATATTGAGCTAGCTCCGTTTTGAATTTGACAGCTATACTTACGAAGTGGTTCACTTCGTTCTTCACATCATTCACATCTCCACTTCGTGCTTCAGGGGGCCAAACATCAAGTCCAACGTACCCCGTTTCGCTTCGTTTCAACCCTCCGGGAAGCTGTCGTCGACTCGATCGACTCACCCAGACATCGTCCCTCGCCCACGATCGCTCGCGCGCGCAGCGGGCGTCCGCGGAGCGGACGTTGGTTCATTCCCCCCGCAGGCGGATTTACTGGAGGTTCAGGCGGGCGGAGTGGCCGTTCGACCGGGGATGTCGTGGTTGTTTCGACATGGGTCATGAGGTGAGTAGTGTTTGTTGAGGATGTTGACATATGTTGTTACTTTTTGTCAGATGTGATTGTTAGATGTAGGGCAAACCTCAATCTGAATGGGAAGGTGAACACCAGCAGTTTCTTTTGTCTTTGCCTTTCAGTGATCTAGAACAGTAGACTCAGTAGATGAACTATAGAATATCACATAGAACATGATAAGTTCTCACAGATGCAGTTCTCACATCAAATCACTCATCCCGACCCTAGACGTCCTGCATCGACTGACCAACGCGCGTCCGCCCGCGGCTTCCAAGCGGCGTGCGTGCGTGCCTTGGTGTCGCACCCGACCCCGCGCCTGGCCATCGAAGGCGGTGCCGGCCGTGAACCCGGTCGACGTGAGCAAGGACTGAGAGACGTGACGCGTGGGCCCCGCAAAGGCTGGACTCACTGTTGGGACGATCTTTTGTGAACTTGGCTTGGAGAGACAACCACCGCACCCTTTTAGCAAATGGATGATGATCAATGTGTTTGTGAACACGGTGAGGAAGAAGCTGTTGGACATTGAAGCAAGTGTACCAAATTCTCGGAGGAAACGAGTATAAAGCGAAAGACTTTTGTTGAACAAAGGACTGTTACAAGGCGCAAGTCGGACGGTCACCGAGCTTGGTGTGGAGCGGCGTGGATCCTTCGCGGCGGTGTCGCGGTGTCGTTCGTTCCCCAACTCGACGCGGTAGCAACTCGACCCAACTCAGCGGCTTTTTCGAGTCGGAAATAGTTACTAGCTCGAGCATCTTCAGGGATGCGTTTGTTTTTTTGCTAATATATAATATTGGTTATATGTCAATTATTCATATGTAACACCTGAGGGGTCCTGATGTCCTGATGGTGTGAAAGTTTTATTGGAGGGCCATATCCGCTACTCGACTGTCACCAGAAATTGATGACATTGATAATTGATGTCACTTGGCCGAAGGAAAATGCAACATTCACATGAAGGGCAAATGTCTTTGCTGTTCAAACGTGGCAGATTTTTTGTGCAACATTGTGCAACCTCGCTTTCCGGATGAAAGACAGCTATGCCACAGAACCCACGCATTGATGCCATGTAACGAATAAAGGCTGTGCACGAATCAGGCACATTTTGTCGGCTCAATTTTTGGTGCTTCTGGCGCGGTCCAAAAGCTCATGTACCTTGACGGCACAAAAGGTCGAGATACTGGGAAAGTCTCATCACGCTTATCTCATTATACCATGCTGCTCGAAGACAAACCGTTCAGGGAAAATCCTTGGACAAATATGGACAAAGCACTTCATGGATACTTTTAGCGCGCACACTATGTCATTTGTATGTCGTTAGATCCCTCGCGAGCGGCGAAAGTGCCACAGGTCCTGCCTGTTCCTCTTCGGCTCAGCACGCGCGCAGCGCACGCAGCGTGTGCAGACGGACTTCTGGGCAACCTGGCGACGGCGCGAGCTTCAGGCACCGGGTGGTGGGTTTGATGACGTTTGGATATATATATATATAATTATATATATATATATATTTGGTTTTTGCAGGAGACAATTTCAGGGCTCCACAATTGTGACGTGCGTCGGGTGCTGGAGCATGGCAACATAGAAAACTTGGTTTTGAATGCTTCTTCTAAAGATAATGTTTACCATGACCGCTGAGATTTTCCCAGCTGCACCGGCTATTCCCTTCGCTGTCTCCAGGACTTGGGCATCCTACTCGCCTATGCCCCGACAGAGCGTGGGGTGGTGATCCATGACGTGGATCTTCGCGTTCCTGGGCGATCTGCGAAGTGGTCGGTCCAACTGAAAAGACTTTGGATATTCTTGTAGATGTGACTGACCAGATATGTGCTGTGTGACAGCTGTATATTTACATTGAGGATATGCACTGTGGGGTGAAGGAAGGGTCATGAGACATGAATGAGGATTAAGGTTCTAGCAGCTTTTCATTCAGAAGGCCAAGCATTCCAGGATCTCTTTGCCAAGGCCTTCATTGGAATGCAACTGTTATAGCTGTTATATAAGCCCTGGAAACCCACAAGCTATGCAGGGCTGCGCAGGAAACCATGCACCTCATGACATCATGAGATCCACCTTTCGAGTCCGCCACCGAAGTCGACCTGGCGGCTAAGCCGCTCATGGCGAAGCCGTGAGCGACGGCTGGGGTGTGTCCCGGTAAACCTCTAATGGTCGGTAAAGAGGAAAGAACATCACTATATACTCTTACGTATAGAGAAAGGCCTGCAACTGAACCATCATCATCCACTGGGCCACTGGGCATGGGACATACCGTATGAGCTCCCCAGTCCGCAGAGCTCGCTCCCCAATCCGCTGGAGCTGTGTCGCTGAGGATGCGCAGAGCTCCTTGGCCTGCTGGAACCGTGCGAATCCTCAACGCCCGATCCGGGTGGGGCAGGTCATTCTCGAAGTCAACGGCCTCCAGCAGGGCCAGGAGAGGAGGGAGTCACAGTCGCGTGACCCACCCTACCATTTGTCAAGTTGATGCTAGGCATCTAGCCATCTAGCAAAGAACCTGGCATCCAGTTGATGCTTGGAGATAGGTACACCTGGGATTTGCTGCTGCAGGTCAACCAGCCGGATAGCCGGATCCAACAATGGTCTGGACTTATTATCCAATAACCTTTGCAAACATCCCCAACCACCTTCTCAAGTATGTTGATTTTCGGGGTGGAAGGTCAAAGGATTTGTTTGAATGTTTCTGGTTCATCAGTTTGATATGTTATGATATTGTGTGTTTTTTGGAGATCCCGATCGGTGCGCAATGGTCTTACAAGAAGAGCTTCTCGCTGGGGGTTGGGTCGTGTTCGTGGTGTTCGTGGTCGTCATACGTTCATTGGACTGTTCGTGAAGCCACTGTAGACTCTTGATGAATAACCCCCCATATATGTTGAAGAGGCTTTGTCAATCCAAAATTATGGGTGTCATCAATTCAAGAGTCCACCGCAGCACCGAGCTTTCAAATAGTCCGATTTGGCAGGAGATGATGGAGGAGTTCAGGCGTGCAGCCTACTTGGAAATGCGGATTTCCAACTCCTTATCGCCTGAGATGCAGAACATGTTCGATATGGCCGTGCACAAGAAGAGGGCCCAAGAAGCAGTGGAGTCTGTTCTTCATGAATTCCCTGTAGGCGCAGAACAAGGTCAGTGTTCCATTTGCTTGTGTGACATGAACTCCCGAGTCGCCAGACTTCCCTGCGGCCATTGCTTCCACAAGAGCTGTGTCACCGAGTGGCTTATTGAACCGCGATCTGGCCAACGGTGTCCCTTGTGCAACCAGAAGCTCAAGACCGATTTGTCAGAGCCTCTATTTACCGCATTTGTGTAAGTATAGATGAGTATCCGGAGATTCCTGAGCTGCTCCTCCGAGGGCTCCAAACTCTCATGTCTCCTCTTTGTATGGAGGGCCTGACAATTTTACTGTGGCAGGCATTTAGAGTCCGCCACGTCAGTGCAAGCTTTTGATTGTTGATGTGCCATGACTGCAGCATGGGTACACCCCATAGCTGCAGGTGTGGCAAGCCAGCAATCAAACAAGCGAGCTGCTTTTGACAAGTCAAAATATGACTTCAAGTCGCTTCAGGGGTTGCATGTTCTATCCTGATGGGTCGGGGGTACCCTATGTATTTCGATAAAAGGCGCGTTCAGTTGTGCAGCCGTGCTGCCCGTGGTGCAGGTGACCATGTTCTAACCGACTCATTCGGGTAGCCGACTCCTGGGTGCTTCATCGTCCGCATTTGCCTGTTTGCGGCAAAGAGGGATCGGCCCCATACTACGCCAGCAGCGGCCTACGCGCGCAAAGAAGAAAAGGGTGCGCGATACCGGCGGCGCGTATGACATACCAGGTCCAAGGAGGTCCTTACGGGGTTCTTTTGAAGTTCATGCAGTGCAGAATTGGCAATGGTGCCCCTGTTGCACCCCTGGTCTGACCACGCCGGTTGCAACATGTTGCAACTGGTTTCTGGATGGGCCATAGGGGTCAGTGGGGAAAGTCTGGAATATTCAATTCATAGCAGCTGAACAGTTATGCCTTTTCTCGTTGAGCTTTGGAGATGTCACGTTTGTCCAACAGAAATCTTGTTGCTATATACGGGTGTGTATTAGAATAGAGAGATCCCCAAAAGACCCCTTTGGAAGACGAACTTCTCCACAACCCATTGGTTGTAGGTGTTCCCTATTAAAATACGGCCATATTCTGTTTGTTGACTTACTCCCTAGAGTCTGACTTATGATCAAGTCCTAGACTATCAACCACTCTTCCGCATGCAACTCACATGTTGAGGAAATCCAGACTGTCCTGATGTACCAAGACCATCCATGAGTGTGGCTAGTGACTAGGCTACCAGTCCATTCGGGATCTCCAGGACACCCAGATGGCCGGATGGTCCATGGTATGTATATTCATCCACTGGCCGCATGGACTCCGGGTCAACCAGAGAGAACGGAAACGAGCAGAGTAGAAGGGCAACTGTACTTCAACAATTTGCAACCGAAGCTACATGTATACACTCAGTATACACTCATATATTACGGCATCATGCAACCAAAGACAGGGCTGCTGCCCGAACTCTGGTACCACCCAGCTCCTGATTCGACTAATCGCCCGCACCCGCCTGCGTGAGGAGCAACTCCCGCCCGTGCAGCCCGCGCAGGCGGCACAGGCCGTGCAGCCAGCGCAGTGATCGCAGCAGTTAGCAATCTTGGTCAGGTTTGGGTGCAAATGGATGTTTCCGTTGCGCACTTCTGAGATTTGAAAAAAAAACCTGCAGGACCACAGGGGGGATAAACCCTCAAAAGCTTCATGGGCTGAAGGTTCGATTCTAAGTTGTATACAGGCAACGACGGCCTGGCGGGTTTGTACGAACCCCAGGTCGCCAAGTGATTTTCTTCATGCCAGCCTCATGGAGTGAGTGTTGCATAGTAGGATTACGTGTTTTCACCATGGATTTGATAGCAATCCCGAAGAACCATTGCTTGAGACGACCAGGACATTGCACCCTGGACTTGCAACACTAGGTTTAGGCTTGGCATGGCTTGGTCGACCTAGGGGCTTGGAGGATTGGTTTCTCAAAAAAGCCAACAGCATGGATATCGGAAAACGCCCCGATGCCACGCTTCCGGTTTTGGCAATCCAAGGCCTGTTTTTGCTTTCGTCGGATCAGGCAGAGACCAGCGACCTGCTGGGCAACCTGACCACCGTCGCTTGGTTTCTTACGTTTTTCGCGAACGCCGCCTGGGGTGGAACCGCCGTCTTTTGTGGGCGGTGTGAGTTGCGGTGGCTTCTCAGAGAGACGTTCTTGGGAACGTCTTCCTTGCTTTTTCCGGGTGTTTTTTTCGGTGTCAGTTGTGGACTTTGACACTTCTCGGACCCGGGAGACACACGGATCATCCTCGGTCTTCGGCGAAGAGCGCTTCACCACCGGGACCTCGACGCGGATGAGCGTAGACTCAACGGCTGACATGAGTGACGACACCGTACTTGGGCAATTGAGTAAGGGGGATGCTATGGGATGCTTCTGGAACTGTAAAATGACGTTTAGTTGTGACATGTGAAGCAAATCCTGGCTGCGGCTGTCCCAGCCGCACGTTTTCCTTTACAAGGTTCTTTTCTGTCAACACCCACATGGGGATCGTGAACGCTGTGAAGCTTGTTTCTGACAGCTAGAATGACTCTGCAAGACCATTCAATTCCACGTTCGTCTTCTTCCTATATGTCTGTCACGTTCGTCTTCAAAGCAGACACCTCCGATCTGAAAGGATTCTCCCGAAACCTTAGGACACCTCGCTCCTTCGCTCCAACCGCACATCTCAGGACAACCTTCCGTCCACCATCGGGAGTGCGCCGCCCGTGCCACTCGGCGGACGTGAAACATTGGAGGGACGGATGAAGCTCGAAGGGATGGAGAGAATTACCCTATAGATGCCTGAAAGTCCAAAACCAATAAAGCAGAATGCAGCATGCTAATAAAACCCTAAATGAGTGAATGTCCATAGTTATAGACTTGAGTTGAGGCAAAAGATGGTCTTTTGGTACTCTTTTGGATCTGGTGTTTTTTTGGGATCCTCATGTTCCCCCTCCAGACCCACCGAAACCTCCAGCGTCGGGACGGGGGCCACGGAGTGTGGAGCTCGAGGCATTCTGCAGCTCGGGGCGACCGCGGCCTTTCATTTTGAGGTGTTTACCCTCCAAATTTCTGGGTCATGAGTCATGAGTCATACCCAATAGGACTCACCCACAGCATCATTCTGGTTGCTCGCCCACTGCATCGGCCATCGCACCAGCCGCGGCTTCCTTCGAGCCGAGCCCATTCCGATCGACCACCGGTGTGCAACCACAGCCTATGGCACCTGCGTTCGGCCACCTGCGCAGGTTGAGCATGTCACACGTTCGGTTTTTAAAAGCAAGCCAGCGAAATGCGCAACTGGAGAAATGTGAAGGACTCATTCATGATCAGAAGGGATACGCTGATACGCCATGTTGAGCTGATTCTGAAAAAAAAACATGTTTGACCTTTAAAAAGAACTCCCGAAAGCTCCCAAAACATTCAACAAAGTTCTCGAACGAATTTTAAGGATACCGGGGACTTTCCAAGACATATCCTATCAGAAAGTAAACAGCACATCAAACATGAAACGTCGGCGTTGTGCATTCGTGTCTTCGTTCGGTGCCTTTCACTCTGCAACTGGGTCTCGCCTGCGGCTTCCATTTGATTCTATCCCAGACACTCCATGGGACTGCCATATATTTGCCAATCAATTGGGGTGGTTTGGGGGTAGGCATATATGGCATATATACATGGAGTGTTTGGGTATTAGTAAGCTTAGTGCTGGGTAGGTCTCACCTTCGTCTCAAAAAGCCTGCGGAAACCATCGTGCAAGTTGCAGCAACATGTTGCGTTCTGCGGATGCGGAACCATTAAGAAGGGGCAGAAATTGGCAGAAGGCTTCTGTTGGGAACCAGCGTACTGTTCCGAGGGTCCCACGGTCCGACGCTACGTGCGGCCCCCGCACGCTCAAGGTCGGAATGCTTGGGAAGAACATAAGATCATGGGAGTGCCGTTTTCAGTGGCAGGGAAGCCTCAAAAAGGACAGTATTGCTTCATTCTCCTAATTCACCCAATTCACCTCCATAAAAACGATGATTGTCTCATGAATTGTCCTGCCATGCAGTCGCCAGTTCGGACCTTCAGGTCCCCCTTCTGTCTCTAAGGTCAGTGCCCAATGGTGGAGGCCGGGCAGAGAGATGCGCTCCGTCTTCGTTCCGTCGCACCGGCGACAGCCCGGGCAGAAGCACTTTGTTGACAGCTCCGTCAATTGGCGATTTCGGGCGAAAGGTGGTGGGAACAGAATCCTGTATAGTTTTCTGTGGTTTCGATACCCTAGGGATCCAAGTACCTTCTCAGAAGGTACTTGGACCCTCCAAATCTACATAACAGTGTCTCCAATCACCTTCTGAGAAGGTACTTGGATCCCTAGGGATATGTTTTGCTGTATAGATTGAATTGGTGGATTTAATGAACCCCTTCACTTGACCAAGTTGTTCGCTTCATGCCTGCAATATGATTCCAGTGAACATGGTTGTTGAACAGTTCATCCTGCGCATGTCCTGTGCAAACTCGCGTCCAAATATCACCGTGAGGTGGCTCCGTTCCACAGGCAGGGGCCTCGTGGAGGGTTGGGAAGGATGATTTTCAAGGTGTCTTTGGAACTAAGAACTCTCTGAACTATGAGCAGTTATGAGTCATGAGTCATGTTATGAGTCATGTTATGAGTCATGTTATGAGCAGTTGATGGGGTTTCCATGGGAAACTATGAAATGCGTCGCCGTCCCCAAAACCCGAAGTGAAACACTCTTAAGGGTTCAATCATCAGGACATTTCAAGATTATATTTATATTCATATGACGTCATAGTATGTCATAACATGTCACAACGTACATGTTCTATCATGATTATTCAACAAGGCACCCTGGCACCCTATCGATTGGATATATGTCCCGTCACGTGCATCTGTGACTTGTGCCTCGCAAGATCGGTTCGGTCATGGTCGGGCTATTGAAGGACTCCAACGCCGTCTCCTCGGTATGACTGGATCGGATCCAAACCCACGGTCTCCAAACAACACGAAACGAAACGAAGAGGTACGAAGTCTGGAGCCTTATAGGGGAACATCTTGCTTTGACTGCCGTGTGGCAAAAAAACGAGCTGCAACTGGACCGTTCTTTTGGTCGGTCGAGGACATTTGTTGACCGCGACGGGGGCCCAGCTTTTGCCCGTGCCAATCGATGGCAGAAAAAGAACGTGTCCGTACACCGGGGTTTGGAACAGTTCATGCCCAAGACAGCATCTTTCCTTAGCGGGGACACCCCTGGCGTGTGATTTTTTAGTGGTGTTCTATACGATCCCACTCTCCTCCCTCGACAGGATGTCAATGATGGTTTCAAACACTTTAGATGAGCCTTCCTTGAAAGATGGGTAGGTGGGAGCCCCAACTTGGGTCCCAAGAAGTTCGTAGTTTCTCAGCACCTATGCTCTTCCAAGTTGGTTGTCTTGGCAGGTGGCATCCATCAGCGATGAGCTGGATTGGCCCAGCTCCCGGATCAGAGGGCCAATGAGGTATATAGAGGATATTTAATCGTGGCATTTCTCTAGAAAGGCTTGCCTCTTTTTTGTGATGCAGAATTATGCTTGATTTTTTTGATTTCTTGATACAAACGATGCCAAAGGACCACAAAGGGCACAAGAATCAAGGAGTCCCTTAAATTTGAAGTGAATCTTCAACCCAGGTCGGAACCCTGTTTACTCTGAGTTTGGGCAGAACGTGTTGGAAGGAGATAGCACTCTCAGCTGTGTTTCTTTGTTTTTGTTAAACCAGTGGCCGCAGCACTTGAAGGGCACTGAAGGTAAAGAGTACAGACCAGTTGATGCTGCAGAAATTGTAAAGAAGATGGTATTACATCGTTTGTGCATATTTCGGGTGGAGTTATGCTGTTCTTTTTTGGTGCATGTGGTTTTCCTAATACAGATGCCCCAGAAAAAGCCTCGATCCTACGTCCAATTCCGGGATGAAAGCCAGTGAATTGTAGTGAACCGGTCCATCCGTTGGTCCTTTCCCATTGCAAGAGAAGGGAATTGATCGATGTGATGTTTGGCTTTTGCAACCACGCTGACGATCGTGACCAGGCTCGGCGTGTCATGCGACTGAAAACTCTGACGATGGCTCAAGCGCCCCGTGTAGAACGCAGCGGCGCAGCGGCGCAGCAGGGTGATGAAGCTGTTCGGTGCCGCTGATAGCAAGATGGGATTCGGGGACACCTGGATTCGGTTCCAGGCAACCAATTGGATTACCCTGTGTACCAACCTTGTACTTCCTCGTTTAACTATGTTTAACTATCAGCTAGAACAGCTTCGCAGCTTCTTGTTTGGAGGTTCTTGTGGCGTTCCGGGTGCCTTCGGCTTCCGAACACACCGAGACAGACTCCATTTCACCCTATGGATCCACATACCGAACCAGGTCGGTACGGTGAGGAAGGAGACTATTTATGTAGGCGCCAGGAGGGTCCAAGGACGCCTTCTGAGGTTCGGTGGCAGTGTATCCATAGCGTCAGAGAGTAGGATCCGATCTCATTCACCGAGCCCCCGGTCCAATTCACGCACCGAGCATCCAGCGAAGGATGCCGTTGATTTCGGCCAAATATGATTTCGCAGTCAGTGGACAAGATCTTAGCGAAAGTGAACGCACCTTGGGGCATCATCTTGGAATCATTCACCGTTTTGTTGGCCCTACCTTTTGATCCTTTTTGTTGGAATATGCGTTGGGTCCTCAATTCCTGAATAGGTTTCATAATGGATAGGTTTTGCTCCTTACCCCGTCAAACGATTTCATTGAAGAAGTCTTTGAGCAATCGATGTTGAACCTCTTCGATATTTCACTCAACATTTGTCTGAGGGACTCACAAAAAAAGATCAGATAGTGAACCAGTCTTCGCCTTCGCACCCTCCCAGTCGAAATATTTGGATGCCTAAATCGAGCACCAATTGAACTTGCATTTGCCCAGGCACCAATTGAGCTCTTCGTCTTTCGTCCTTCTTTCTTTTTCCGTCCTTCTTCCCCACAGCGATGGTTCGCCGGAGCTCCAGGATGCCTTCGGTCCCCCCTCTTTGGAAGCACCGGCGGCTTCCGGGTGACGCGGCGGATGGTGGAGTGAATTGCATGTTATCCATGGTATACGCAGTGCTTTCAGTAGGAGCGGAACAATTTTGTTGGTTGGGTTGGAATACCCAAATAGCCGCTGGGCATGGAGAGTTTGGGTGGATTTGATGTTATTTTCGGTGTAGGCAAGTGTCTCAGACCTAGAGGAATTGTGAATAGTCAATTGCCACCAGTTGCTTTGGTTGCTGGTTTCAAGAATTGTGGGAAGCCAGCGAGCAGCTGGCCAGTCGCCACAGCCACCAGCTGGATAGTTGGAACATGTTGTTTCCCTACCAATCAGTCGTGACGGTTGGTCCAGAGGCACCTTGGGTGTCCGATGTCAAGGCTTAGTAGATCTTTGTAGATTTTCACGCTCGTAACGCTCGCGCCATGGTCAGGGACTTCAGCGGAATTAGGAAGAGTCCGATCGGTGGGTCGAATTCGGAAGCGGGACTTTCGGAATCGGAGAACACCCTGTGGTACCATGAGTTCTATAATAGAACTATTATAAGTGTACCATGTCTACCTGGACTATCCAATCTTGGATAGTGTAGGGTCGTCCCCACCGCGGACTCCCCACATCCGACCCGACCTGCTGAAGCCGGCGACGCCTGCCCGCTTCAAGGTCTCCTTGGATCGCGTGGGTGACGAGCCCATCGGAATGGTGGCGACCTACTGTCCCAGTGCTCCACAAAGCCAGGGCTTGGCGTCTCGGACCTCGGTCAGAGCCGGTCCTAGCCGGCTCACCAGCCGTGGAGGCCCGTCCCAGACGTGCATGGCGTCCGGCCGCCCCGCGCGTGTGGGGTCTTAAGATGGGTCGAGAAAGACTGATGAAGAAGGAATTTCTCCGTGAGATTGTATAGCCTGAGTGACCTGTTTTGGAGGATCAACGATCCAAAATATGGTCAAACTGCCTATTAAATATAGGTATATATTAATATATATATATATATTATTTTGCTGTGCAGCCGGTGGTTTTGTTATTGTTTGATTCATGGCAGTGGTAGGTGTTCTTTTTTTTTCTGTTCCCCCTATCATGGGATTGGAGTATAATGGTATAGAGATTTTCAAGTGGACAACCCCTCGTATCGTGACCTTTTCCGCTACAGGACGTCACCTGCAGGGACTAGCCAATCCAATGACAAACAACAGACAAGAAATAGTAACATAGACAACACAAAAACAAGCGCAGCATGTGCTGCCCGCTGGCGCCCGCCAGCACTGGCCCCATGAAGTGGGGATATCCTACCAATGTCCCGTTGGACTGGCCCCAGCACGGAAGCAGAAAAGAAGTGCAGGCCTTGTCAATTTGTAAGGTCCAATCGTTCAGCTTCAAATCAACAAAGTTTGAACCTCGAGTTGAAGAACCAAGGCCAAACTCAGTCAACAATGCCCTTCGTTCCCCTCCAGCCACAACCGGGCCATGTTGGGCCCGCCGAAATCAGTGTATCGGCCAGAGGTGTGGCTGGGGTGGAGGTGCTCAAGAAGTCCAAAGAATTGAAGCAACACAAACAGAAATGATCTGAAGGGATATGAATCTATGAAGAAATCAAACTGATAGCTAATTATAGCTATCATATATCATAGCGTATCAAGATAATGTACTGAACGAACTGATACAAATATATGAGTTCCATTCCATCATGGCAAATTCCGTTCCAAACGTCTCGGTGACCTGCTTAGGTCATCCGGGACGTCACAGCAGTGCCTCGGAAGCGAACGGGCGGTGTCGGCGGAGGGTGGAGTTTCGCGACCGGTGCAGGGACAGTGGTGGTTGACAGACCGGGAATGGTGTGTGCGCGTGTGTTTTCAGCATGTTTATTGTATAATATAATATATATATATAGTGATCCTATATCAATGAAGCACCCAAATGTGACCTGAAGACTAAGTTTGGTGAGCAGGTGTCCACTATGTTGTTAGCTCACGTTGAACACCAACAAACAGTGGGTTCAGTACTATTCTTAGGAACATGGTTACTGATGGACACCCTCAAAAGGTGCGTTGCATGTGAACCGAACCCTGTGATCGTTATCAATACGGTGATTTTGTGATCGTTATCAATACGGTGATTTTGGCGCTGGTCATTGCGGCGTGTGATCATGCAGTTTTCTTTCTTTGACATCTCAGATTGCTGAGCATCTTTGAGCAAGTCCTCACATAGAGAAGAACAAGACCTACACATAGATCCAATTCGCGTGTGTCGAACATTTGCAAGACAAAGACTAAGAGACACAAAGACTAAGACATCTGTCCTCCTTTCATGTATCCTTCTCCCATTTTCTCCTCCCTTCAAAGCTCCACCCCTCCCTCCACACCCCTCCAGCTCAAAACACTCCGTGGAAGGCGCACGGCTCGCTCCCTCCGCCGGAAACCGGCCTCAGGATGAAGGATCCGCGATCCTCCGGTGGAACCAGAGGCATCCCAAGCGCCAGGTGCGGCCGGGGCTCGCGATCTTAGAGGTCAACGGCTGCTGCAGCACCGCTGAGATGCCACATGGATGGAGATGGATGGAGTGTTTTCACCGGGAGGGAAGGCGGGTCGCTGGACAAGATGCGGACGGAAAGGGTGTACTGTGGAGGTCGAGGAGCGCAAGTACTGTGGAAATGGTGAGAAAGCGGCAAAAATGGACTAGCAGTGGTTCCAGAGTGGAAGTCATATATGCTGTCCCATTTGCCATTTGGAACCCTCTAAAAACAGTTTTTCATGCATTCTAAGCCTTCGCTGTGTGCTGATCTGTTGACCTTGCTTCGCTGTGTTTTCGCCTGTTTGAGGGAGAAAGAAGAGTCCGTCCACAAGGTCATGATTTGATTTGTCTACCAAACCCCAGGGACTGCGTTTCACTGACGCGCCGTGATCGGCATCGGCTCGGTGTGCGCCCGTGGGAGACTCGCCAGTCAAGACTGGTCCGCATCTGAACTTGGGTTCACCCTACGTTCGGAGCACCTGTGACTTTCATTACAACTGAGCAGAGTTTGTTTAATAGATGTAAAGATTTATACAAGCTGCAAATGGTTGGATGTGGGCATTCTGCTTGGGGGCGTAGGCTGGCATAGCCATGTTTTGCATTTTGTTGTAGCAGAAGCCGCGTAGGCGACGAATTTCCCAGCCCGTGGGTCAAGAAGATTCATACAGGAAGGACTTTAATATAAGTATGACTTCTCAATATGTCAAATGCTACCTGGATAGGAGTAATTAGGCAAAATATTAGCAACGCCAACCATGCAGTGGCTAATGGAGTAGAGAACCATGGGACATACCACAGGTTGGGCCAACATGATCCAACCTGTTATATATGAAGCACTGGCTCTTGACAACCCATACTTGCCAATGAAGAGGCCTCTCTCTCTCTCTCTCTTTCCCTTTCTGTTTTTTATTGAGCGGGGTGATTTGA